GTTCTTCTTAGCTGCTGAGTAAGATACTCTGCTAACTTCTAAACCTCCAGTGATCACGTTGATAGTTCTGTCATGCCTAGGAGGTGAAGCAGGAGCAGATTTTGCTGAAGCTTTGTCATCACTCTTCTTGTCGATTCTGCTTCTACTTCGTTCAGACAAGAATTCTCTCAAGTGACCCTTCTTGAGCAACTCATTTACTTCCATTTTCAACGTGATGCAATCTTCTGTTCGATGACCATGGTCATCGTGAAATTCACACCACTTTGACGTGTCGCATTTATCACCTGACGTCCTCATTTTTTGAGGCCATCTTACTGCTGTCCCCATCTGCTTCAATGCACCTACCAACTCTGCGTGCGAAATTGATAGGTTGCTAATATCTGGCCACGTTGATGATGAGTGCTTGTCGGTCTCATCCTTGCTGAATGGCCNGTGACTTCNCCTGCTNTCNTTCTTGCTGCTCGTGTTTTCACNACGAGATCTTTGATAANGTTTTCCTTCTCTGNGGGGTTTCTCGCGTCTTGACACACGTGAGTCAGACTGTGGGGAAGACGATAACGATAGGCTAGATCTTCTTCCCACTTAATTTGTGCCCAAGCCCTAGAGAGTACGTCCTCCATGGTTCTGCACTGATACTTCGTNAGCTCTTTATACAGGTCACCATCTGGAAGTAGACCTCGTTTAAACGCTCATATGGCAGTAGACGTGACACAANTCGGGATAGATACTTTTTCCTTGTTGAAACGTCCCACGTAACTACGCAGCGGTTCGCCTTCCTTTTGGATTACCTCATAGAGGTCGTCTGCTGTCTTCTTAAGGTTTCTGCTACTTGCAAATTGTTCAACAAAACGATCAGTCAGTGAAGCAAAAGAATTTATTGACCCGTTGGGTAGGTTTGTAAACCACTGGAGTGCAGGTCCCGTGAGACTCGAGCCAAACCCTTTACACATGCTGGCCTCCCTGTACTCTCTCGCCATTGCAGTGGTAAACATTCGTTGTTTGTACTGTGCGATGTGATTGTCAGGGTCTGTCGTTCCGTCAAACATCATCATCGAGGGAAACAAAAATCTCTTTGGCATCTCTACAAGCGNGATCTCGTCCGTGAACGGAGTATCCGCGTAGCAGTTAGGTGCGCTCTTTGTTATTGGTGGGGCTACACTAGGAAGTCGCTTAATCATCGCTTCCATCTCTTCAAAACGTCTGACAATCAGGTGTGGATCTTCTTTTGACCGTGTTGTTGCTGCTTCACTGGGGTGAATCAGGTGTGGATCAGGGTGAAGCAAAGATCGGACGACTTGCTCCCGAACCTCCTCTCTAACCACATCACTGGCAGATGTACCAGCACCTTGTTGCTGCATCGTCCTTGCACCCGCAACAGGTGTAGTTCCGTCTAGTGACCGCATCGGATCGACACGTCTTTGGAACTGGTTTCGAGCTTCGAGCTTGCTGTCTCTGTCTGCAGTGAGTAGAGTCTCGTTCGCAGACTTCAATGCAGCATTCTCCGCTTCGAGCANCGCTGCTCGTTCTTCAGCCCGTTTCATCTGGGCGGTGAGTTCCGCCAATTGAACAGCGGGATCTTAGGTGTTGTTACCTCCTGTGGGTATCACGTTGTCATCTCCGGTAGTCATGTCTCACGTAGTTAAATCTGCCCCTCCTTCTAGCGCCAATTGTTTCGGCAAAATTTAACCAGGTTCGCAAGTACACAGAACTACGGAATGATAGAGAGAAGTATCGTTTTATTAATCAACGAAGTAGGCTTGTAGCCGAATGATACTACAACATCTAGATGTCTAAAGCGTTATAAAGGACTTCGTTAGATGTGGAAAATAAGACTAGGTCTCTGGTTGCGATCGCTGGGATGCTATGAAGACGTAGCTCTTAGGTTTTCTCTGTGTGTTTTTCCGATCCCCCTCATCTCTACTCTACGTCCCCCTATATATAGGACTTCCTCCCATCCGTTTTGGACTAGGATTCGACTTGACGTGCAAGCTTATCTCCTTAATCATCGGGATTCTTGATATACTTGAATCATATTATGAGGTCTAGATAATGACAAACCTAATAATACTTGATATTGCGAAATCTCTACAAGTCTATCTTAAAAGTCATGTATTGTTTTATATCAAATAAGGTTAACTAACCTTGTAACGACNTCGTACGACGTTATCGACTTGATGCCAACGTGGTAATGGTGCCTTACTCGTTACTGACAAGTCATTTCTTCATTTTACATGATATACATGACGTATTGCCAGGTATTAGCAGGTTATTACCTCGTTTAGCATGTNGTAGACGACGTGTAGTCAGGTATTAGCAGATTATTACATGACTTTATCTTGCCTAGAAAATCTCTCGTCAGGTATCAGTAAGTTATTACTTTGGTTTACCTGACATAGACGATGTATTGTCAGGTATAAGCAAGTTATGACCTCATTCTACATGTGGTAGATGATGTATCGTCAGGTAAAGGCAAGCCATGACCTCACTTTATCTGACGTAGATGATGTATTCCCAGGTAAAGGCAAGTTACGACCTNGCTTTACCTGACATAGATGATGTATTGGCAATATCTGACTTGGTTATGACAAGTCATTACCTTGTTTTACCAAGTAGTGAATTTATTTTCCCCAACAAAGGGAAGGAGATTTAATCTTTCATTTTTTGTTTAAACGCAAAGTCAATTGATGTTTTATTTATGAAAAAAAACACTAATCTTATTATATAAAGGAGGATGCGCACAATGAGAAAGCAATATGTAAGCAAAATTTTAACTGTCCAGATCATGACATGTTTCCACTATTGATCAGATGATGACATCTGATAATACTTAAAACTGAG